CTTCCAGGCAGGCCAAGATGGCACTGTCCCCGTAGCCTTTGCTAGGAAAATAGATCATGTTGTTTGACTGCCGCTCACTTTGCTGTTTCAAGCAAACATCTAAGGCTTGGAAACAGTTTGAGAGAAGCACACTGCACCTCAGTGGTGCCACAGATATATTAATTTGGCCGTGATGCACAAATTAATGTTGCTGTTAGTGTAGAAACAAAGCAAAGAAGGTGCGACACAGAACTGTCCCTCCCATCTGCGTCTTGCCTGTGCCATGGTCTGACTGGGTTGGACATAGAATCTGCATTCTGTGAACAGAAGTGCACATGCTACGGAAGGTACCGCTTCCTGGTTTTGGGGGAATTCACCCCAGCAACACAGTTGACCCCATTCAGGAGCCCCCTGGTGCCCCTGTGTGTCAATTTCAGGGGGTTGGAGGGGCTGCTGTAGGGAGGAAGGGGGGGGGGAGGCCCACTTCTACATGTCTAAATCTGGATCTAACCAAGGAAGACTTAAGCAAGGTGATCTCACCTGGGTTGCAGCTACCTATTTTAGGGACATAAGAAGCTGGCTTATATCGAGTCAGTCCACTGGCTCATCAAGGCCAGTATCACCAACACTAACTGGCAGCAGTTTTCCAGGTTTGCAGGCAAATGTTTCCAACCCAACCTGAAAAGGCCAAGCCTGGGGCCTTCTTCATGCAAAGCAAGGGCTCTGCCTCACTGAGCCATGATCCCTTCCTGTTCTGCAATATGAGGATAATAACACTGACCTTCCTTAGGAACACAAAGCTGAACATACCAAGTCTGTCTAGCTGAATACTGTCTTCACTTCCTGGTAGTGCTTCCCAGGAAGCTTTCTGCACCTGCCCTGAAACTCAGGAGGGCCTTTTATGTTGGGGTCCACAGGTTCTCTTTAAGCCAAGAACCACTGTACATTTTGGAGAAGAAATTGAGGGCTGCAGATTCAAGCACTGGACTGAGCCAAGGCAAAAGGAGCTGGGTCAACATCCAAAAGACGGCAGAACAGTTTAGTTTCATGCACTTCCTCCCACTAACTAAGCCTTATGAGAGGCATTTCAATGCCTCAGAAAGGGTGGGAAACTGCAGAAAAACCAGGAAACCACCAAATCGTGGCCTGGAGAAAGGGTGGGGCCCAGGAAGGGGGATGGATGGAGAACCCCAGTGTGTCAGATTTGCTCTGCAGGTCTGAGATTCCGCACCCCTCAAAATGTGCTCTACCACTAAGCTGCCATTTTTTCTTACAGGGCTAATGAAAAGATTGCAAGAAGACAGTGTGAGCGAAATGCTGTGGACATTCAAAAACACCATACAAACAAGTATTATTATTGCAGAAATTGGAAACAAAATATAAAAGCCTACAAACTCTACTTACGGATAGCAGAACGGAGATCACTTCAAAACTGTCTCAAGCTGTCTTCTGTCTGCAGCCTTTGTTATATTCTAGTATGCTTGAGAATATTGGCTAGAAATGGCTAAGGATCCCTGTTTTGTGTCTGGTCTAGTGGCCATATTTTTCTAGAGGATGACTGGAGCTGTACAATGCTTCCAGAAAAGGCTTTAATGGTGCCATTGCTATGCCCCTGCACGGAATTTTATGGGGTGCAGGTTTACAGATCTCAACACTGTCACCTTAAACTTGTAACCCTCCCATTTCCTACCACTTATTAGATTTATATCCTACCTCTTTCTGTTAAAGAACTCAAAGTGGCTTACATAATTCTCCTCTTCCCACTCTCAGTTTTATCCTCACAACAACCACCCAGGGGCAGTGGGAATAGCTCAGAAAACAATGGTTGGAGGAGGAAACTTTTCCAACCTCTGTATGTCCCAGGTGCTTACTTGGAAGTAAAGATAAAAAAAGAAGTAGCGGCACACTGCATTTATGTGTACAATGAAAAGTGCTTAACTTTGACTGGCTTGTACCTCCACTTAGAGATTAAAAGAAACAGAAATGGCACTAACACTAAAGAGTTGCCTTGAGGTGTGAGTCACTCTGGGTCTACTCAGGTGCAAGTCTGAAGTCAGTTCCACAAAATTCAGTGGTGAGCCCCAGCAAGGGCACCCTGGGGTCCAGCTCACCTCAAATTTAGTATTCCCTTCCCTTGAGAAACGTCACTTGTTCTACTGCTTACTCTGGTCTATTTGATCCTTACAAAAATCACATGAAAACACAGCACATGCATTTGGCCCCTGGATATCCTTGAGAATTGGCAAATTGGTTCTCATGTTCTTTATTTCGTATCTTTTCTCCACCCCCCCCCCACCCCAACTATTAGCAATGCAACTGGGGAGGGAGATATTTCTTCTCCCCTCCCTCTAGTTATGGTCCAAGAACCTCCGGCTCCAACCACAACACACATGCATGTGCACACTGAATGCTACAGGATCAGAAAGGTCTGTGTTTCGGGGTGGGGGGAACAGCCCGAAAGGAGGAGCAGCAGAAAGATGGCACTCAGCCACTGGGATTCATCCCAGATCCTTTGGATCTACTGGGGCAAAGCAGGGAGCCAGTGGGCTGTTTTTCTTTGGCCTGATGAGCATAAATATTCATATGTGAAAAGCTTTTCGGATACATCAAATCACTGCAAGTTCCAGAGGGCAGCCAGCGAAAGGGCAAAAACAGTGTTGGCATTTTAAGGGCTTGTGTGCAGCACATGCAATTACTGCACAATGCTGCTGAAAATGAGGGCCGCAGCCGTGCTTACCTTAAGCCAGTCAGAAATGTGGCCTGGTGACTAGAATTAATAGGGCTTGTCTGAAGAGCAGCACATGGCAAATCTAAGGGCTCTATTCATCTCTTGCTTTCCTTGGGATTCTGCAGGATTCCAAGATACACACTGACTGTGCACATTCCATCCAGAAAGTGTGCCAATCAACAAGCTAGGACTGTCACCATTTTTTTGCGATTTCCAATCATCTCTAGAAACTAACATGACATCTGCTATGGGAACCAAGACGGGCTTTGCTGGTTTCCGTGCTAACCAGGCATGCCAACTTTCTCCTGTGGAAGAGGAACCAACACAAATCTAGCAAAGGCCCTGCCATTACTATACCTCTGTGCTAAGAAAAACTTCATTTGCAAACTTGTTCTTATCATTCAGCTCTTCAAGGTGCAGAAGCCCAGCCAGAAAAAAATGTGGCATCCATAATGCCCAGGGCCAGTGTCAAGGGCAGGCATAGTCAGGTGTTCACTGAGCACTAATGCTCCAGCAGGAATCCCACTGACAAGAACCTGCTCACCAAGCTTCGTTCTGACCCTGGCAACAGAAGTGGTGTGAAGGGGAAGCAGCTGCCTCCTTGTTCAAGGGCTCTTTTCCTATCAAACAAGCAAGTGATAGCAAAGGAGAAAACGATGAAGAGGAGCAAAAGCAGCCAGTGACAATGACAATAAGAAGGTAGACGCGGTGAGGGAGGGCCCCCTTTGAGGTATCTTGGCCAAAGACCTGCAGAAACCCGGACCAAGCAGTGCTCATGTTGACTCCATTCTTCAGGTTCTGGGTTGGATCCAGGCTTAAACATACTCAGAGCAGACCAACTGACATCAGGACTAACATCATGATTGACATCAAGGTGTTTAAGCTAAATTTGGATCCAAACCATAATGTTTTTGTTAATTGTGCCCCACAGGAAATATCCCCATGAAATGACTGTGCCAGGACTTGGAGATTTTTCTAAGGTCTTCAGCTTTCCTGAGCCATTTCTCCATGCTGCAGAAGAGACAGAGTTGCACCACATCAGCATCAAGATCAGTCATGTTTGATTTCCCTGGTCCCTTGTATATTTTATCAGGCAAGAAGCTTACATCTGCATTTTGTTTCTTTGGTGGGAAGTGCTGCCCTGGCCCATTTGCCCACTTTGGGCTGTAGGTTGCAACAAAGGATTTGCATGTTGACTGACCTGCTGGAGAAACGCTTCTACCTCAAGAACAGGAGAGGCCCACATGGGCTCCTGCTGCATTTTCCCAAAGTTCCCATCAGTCCTGAAGCAGTGGATGTTAAGGCACCAGCTATATGTTTGTATTCTGAACATTTTACCAAGGCCAGTATGAAGAAGAGCATCAAAGAGGGACAAAATACCTACATCTGTGGATAACAGGGAATATGGTCCCAGCAAGTAGATCTGTTGCCATTTTGGATGGCCTGTGCCCATCCAAAGTCTGCATCCAGATGCACCTCAGCAATTAACCAAAGGCTGTGTTTTAGCTGTTGTCCCTAGTTCGAGGTGCGTCCTGAGCAGAACACCATGCAAAGTCATCCTGCCATGCAGATGACTAGGGTAATGGATAGATATTGCAGAAGAAGGTAATTTGTGTGTGTTCATGTTTTGTGACACATTTTATATAGTGCTTAGATCTTCTGGTGCTTATTGTTTCTGAAACAAGCCATCAGCATCGGCTCTTCTTCCCTCACTGCCACTTTTGCCAGGATATGTTGGTTTTCCTGTGTGTGCGTCTCTCCCCCCATTCCCCAGAGCCTCCCTGTGAACATTTCAGTCAAATAAACAGTGAGCATTATAAAGGTTTCATACATGCAGCCTTGCGCACTTGAATCTGGGCATGACAAAACAGGAAATGCCAGCACTCCTATTCGAATGAAGCAAAGCCAGATCTCTCACAGAACATACAGCCTCTTTACTTTTCTCTCTAGAACTGCATCTGCAGACCTTTCCTTTTTCTTTCTTTTCCATTTTAAATGTCAGTAAAATGTTTTCAATTTTACACCTCGCGTAGCGCAGCCGAATGCTTCATCAACAACGTAAACAAATGTTAGGCAGAGCAAAGCGGCTGACTTCAAACAATGGTTTCGCCCCCTGCAATGTGTATTCCAAGGTCTGCAAGAAGCATACATAACAAACTTGTTGGCTAAGGCCACAGTAAAGGGTTTTTCCGGTGTTTACGCTGCTGTTGCCAACCTTACTCAAGAATGTATTAACAGTGGATGCATTGATCCCAATCTTATTACTCCAAGCACCAATCCAGGGAAAGAACGGTTATTCTATTCCAGCCCTCTGTTTCGTAGTATCGTAGGATCGGACCACTTGAGACTGGGAAACGACCCCGTGTTCCTCTTGTGAAAATGCATACCCATCTGAAAAGCAGAGCACAAAGAGAGAATCTTGGAGTCTTGCAGCTTGCTTCTTAAACAGTTACAAGAGGAAGCCAGAGAGATGCCATGGTTTGAAGGGTACGTGAAGCCTACCTCAACCGGTGCCTTCCAGATATGTTGAATAGCAACTCTCATCATTGTAATGGCCATGCTGGCTGGGCATGATTGGCGCTACATCCAAAACAGCTGGAAGGCAGCAGGCTGAGGAAGTCTGCTGTAAACAAAATCAGTGCATCTACTGCATTCAAGTTAAAGGCAGCATTTCAATGTTAACTGCAGAAGCCTTCTGGTTACCTGGCCTTGTTCTGGTCCTAAACAACTGATGCAGTACAGAAGAGACACTCTTTCATGTTTTCCAGTACTGGAGCAGCTAAGAGTCCTCAGACATTCTTTTAGAAAGTCACCATTTTTTCCACAAGGAGAGCAAATGGCTTTCCTGAAGCTGGGGCTACAGTTCAGTGACAAGAGGGCATGAGCTTCATGCAGAAGTCCCAGGTTTGATCCCAGCATCTCCAGATGAGACCAGGGAAATATCCTGCCTGAGAGCAGCCAGGGCCAACAAAACTGGGTCAATGGTCTGACTCCTTCTGGAGCGGCTTGCTACATTCCCATGTTTTCCTGCTTTGAACTATACAAGCTCAGCAGGAAGGAGAGGGCAGGCACCTAATGAACCAGGATCAATCTTGAAATAGTATCAGTTCCTCCAAAGCAACAGCATTTTCTAGCTGCTCCTCACAGCTGCTTCTTGGAATAAAACTAATACTTATTTTTGTCACCACTTCTGATGGGCAAAAATGCTTTCTTCAGGCTTCAGACAAGGTGTGACATGAATGCCAATGGCTTGGAATTGCTGTCCATGATCAATGGCCAGGAAGCAAACACCTTCAGCTGTGGGGCTACACAGAAGTTTAGGAAGATGTCATCTGCTCTTTTTACCTGACAGAATAATATGCCCAGAAATGGCCAGGCTGCCATCCCTCTAAATCAGGGGTCTCAAACTCGGGGCCTGTGGGCCAATTGCCGGGAGGGGCGGGGCATGGGGGAGGGGCCCTGTGGCCTTCAAAGCGCTGGGGGCGCCCGGGCCGGCCTCCGGGAGCGACACGGGATGAGCGGCCCACCACCACCGTGGTGGTGGAATACTTGATGAGGCCCAGCCTCACCCAGACTCTACTTCCAGCGGCCCCCAGGTAAGTTGAGTTTGAGACCCCCGCTCTAAATTCTCCTTCTACTCCTTTGGTGAAGTGGAAACAGCTACTAGTTTCTTACCTGCAGAGAGCTTAGAAAAACCTTGTGCCAGTTAGAAGCTAAATAGACATGCTTTTCATGTTTGGGAAGTTCAGGGGCCACTTTCCCCACTATTTGGCAGGGGTCTCTCCTTATATACCACTTGGCGCAATGGCTAATCCAGCTCTTCCTCCCGGTACAATCAGAAAGAAAAATAGTCTGCATACAACTATCTTCCATCCCTCCCTATCTATGGCTGAAGAACTGACTAATTGCACATTTCTACAGTCTTTGGAAACCAAACAATGAAAGATTCCATCTCGTACTTACAATGGGACTATTTGAAACCTTGGACATCTTCCTCAACTCCCCCCTCACCTTTTTAAAAAGCTGCACCTATTTTCCGTTCTCCAGAACAAGCTCCCATTGTTCAGAGCACTGGTGGCTGCTCAGAAGTGCCAAAACAGAGTGAACCCTAACAGAGGCTCCGGCAGAAACACAACATCCTGAGTTCTTTAGCCTCCTCAATCATCCGAGACTTGAGGAGGTTTTTTAAGTTATCTGATGACTTTGGTGGCTGCTGTGCTGGGAAGTAAGGTTTGCAGCATCACCAAAATATAAAGTTTCCCACTCTCTTGATAATATCAAGCTATCTGTCAAAATGCGAAAGTAGCTCATGGTTAGCAGTGCTACCTTTCTACAAGTGAGGTTACCGTTCCCGGTTCTCACCCAGCCGAACCACAGTCATAAGGTCATACCGCCTTCCCCAGTCTAGTGGCCCCAGATTTATAGGACTCCCTTTGTATGAATGGCCATGCTGGGAGCTGCAGTCCAACACAGCTGAGGCCCCCAGGTCAGGGCAGACTGTATCCAAGGCACCTCTGCACCACACCTGATTATTCTCCTCAGTGTTCCTGCCAGGTGAGCTGCATGTTCCTGGCCGCAGCTTGTTTCTATCTTGAACTGTGTTTGCACTCAAGATCTTTTCATACGGAAGGAGATGCTGTGCATTAGGAAAGAGGGGAGAACTTGTGGACTAAATGGTTTTCTCCTTAAGTCTATTTATTGTCTGTTCTTCTTTCTCTATTCATGGTGGTTTATGGGTTCTTTAGATAGGTGCCTTTGCTTCCGTTTTAAAAGAGACGTAGAGGGTTAAAAAAAACCCACCATTTTGAGTTCTTCTACTCCAGGTCGTTAAGCTGTTGTGCAACAGCTGTTGTACCTGTTGTTTGGTTCCGTAGTGGAACTGAGGTCCAGGTCCTACACACAGAGCTTTTCCTTTTCTGTGTTTTCTCTACATAACCTCTAGGTGGCACTGGTTCAGTACAATATTGCAGTTCCACAGGTGCGGAAATGTATTTCGTTTTGCTTTCAGAAGTAATACTGTACTTTGTCTGATGTGGACAGCACACATACATGCCTGTGCGCGCGCGCGCGCGCACACACACACACACACATGAACACACCACCCAGGAAAGTGCCCTTTCAAAACAGAAATGAAACTGGTGGGTCACAATGTCATCTGAAGAACCCATAAAAAATGTGAATTAGGAATGCTCAGGGTCCAGCAAAGGCGCTGTCCCTATTCATTGTCATACATGTGCACATGTAAACACATGAGTGTCAGGCTGAAAGGACAAAGCTATCCTGGTGCAGAGGAGCTGGAACTCAACTGCTGAACTCCTCCTTGTACTCCTGAAAGGAGTGAGAAGACTTAAGCCAGTCTTCCCAGTGCTCTCCAGATGTCTGGGATGCTCAGTCCCACCACCCCCAGCCAGCACAGTGAAAGACTGGGGATTATGGGATCTGGAGGACTCCAGACTGGGCAAGGCCCTGGCTGCTGCCTGGAATGAAAGGGGACATACACAGCCCTGTGGATGGATGGTGTCGGTGGTGGTGATTTGTGGTCTCTTGTTCCCTTGTCTCATGTACTTTAGTTCTGAGACGAATCTTGATATATTTCCAGGGCATTCTGAAAGCTTCCAATATGCAGGAAACCATAGTCTTTGCTTAGTGTTTTTCTTATTAGGAGAACAGCTGAGAATGAAAAATCCATATAACAGGACTTAACTGCGAAACCTGCTACCAGCACTGATTTTAAACAGGTGCTGGAGTAAGAACCACACTCAGCCTTACAGTAGAACCACTTGTCTACTTCTATTAGGATATTTAGGAGGGCAGAGATGTTAAACATTCAGGAAAGCTTTTAAAAATCCTGCACTCTACCCCCTTCAATCTATTGAAACCCTAACTTTATTTGCAACAGAATCTGAAGCTTGGTAGAAAAAGGCAGCAGCAGCTTTAGACATGTCCGTAAATCTTCCAGAAAGTTACAACACCCAGAAACTTGCAAACTTCAGAGGAGAGGTTTTATACCAGACTAGATGATCATTACCAAGGAATAAATGAAAATGTTTGTCATCCCCACCACAAGACTACAATAAAAATAAATTAGGCCTTTAGCAGTGAAAAAATATCTGTATGCATGTGTCTGCTTAGTGCAGTAGGATTGAGGTTGCTATCCTGTATCCATTCACCTTGAAGTAAGTCCCATTGCAATAAGTTGAACTTACTCTGAAGTAGACATGTATCAGATATACTTTCAGGCTGTGATCCTATACGGTACTCACTCAGGTTGTATTGAATTAAGTGCTACTTACTTCTTAATTGATATATATATTCTCTCTCTCTCTCTCTCTCTCTCTCTCTGTGTGTGTGTGTGTGTGTGTGTGTGTGTGTGTGAGAGTGAGAGTGAGTGTGTGTGTGTGGAAAGAGAGAGAGATCTGTAGTGAATGAGGCTAAAATTGTGATCTAAATTCCTTTGTTGCTTTCCTTGGGGCTACACTGGGTAAGCTGCATTTCTCTAGTATCCATATTATATGAAAAGGGCTGGCCCAAGAATAAATAGGGCTCCAGGTAAGGAACACCTTCTGACACCATCCTCCTGTTCATTTTGCAGTATTGCCATGTGATCTGGCATGCGCAGTTGCACAGATTTGCAAACAGAACTTGCCTTAAGACATTCCCAAGGGTGCCCTCTCCTTCATGGCAAATGGAAGATCAACCCATGTATCATCCAAGATGATGGAACTTACGTATGTCCTCTAAGAATGATCAGATCCTCCCTCCTGGAGAGATAATCACCTGCCTTTTGATCTGAAAACAGCCTGTTGTTTGGTTGGTTGGTTGCTTGCTTTTTTAAGTTATATGAAACACATTTCTTCATTGTATGAATTGGCCTGCTCTTTGTTTTATGGGGTCCAACCTCCTGCCCATCCCTTTTCTTTGTGTGCCCCTTAACATCATTTGAAAAAGGATGATGGAAGACGCAGAGGACTGCAATTCTGCTACAACCCCCTGCCCCATTTAGTCTTAATACAGTGAAAATTTATACTCATGAGAAAAACAGGCCAATGATTGCAGATATCCCTAACTGGACCCACTCTTTTAACACTTAATCAACAGAATTTATGAGGGACTGGCTAAGAGAACTGACATTTATGTCGATATCCTGTTCTTATTTCCTGTACTACCCGACCTGTGAAAAGTTCAGAGAAGTCTTCATCAATGTGTGCAAATTCCTAGATCTACATATATGTCTAAACATTCCTCATCCTGTTTTGCTACCTTTTCTTCTTCACACCTTTTCTGGCAGTCATAGAGCCTCTAAAATTCTCCCCTCTATGCCTCACCATGTCTGAAGGACAGGAAGCTGATATCACCATCAAGTGCTTTTCAAATGATGTCACTCTGGAACCAGTCCAGAACCTGAGGGTGAAGGTGCAAATGGCTGCCAATTTACATTGTGTAGACTGCACAGATAATAATCTCTCCATAAGCATCTCCTATGAAGGGCAGAGATATGAGAATATACAGACATACTACATGATGAGACCAGGAATCTGCATGGGCAAGGAGTCCATTTCCAACAGTGGCATTAACCTAGGGCTTACTTAATCTTCTGCTTTGCAGGAATGGGGGAAATTTTAATTATACTCATTTTTATAATAACAGGAATTTGCTAATTTCTTCATAAGTAGGATGAAAAAGAAAAAGAAAAAAGAAAAATGTGGGAGGAACCAAAACTGATAAATTTGTCCATCTAGGCTCAGGGCTTTAAAGAGTGTCAGCTCAGATTTGGGGTTTCAATCCTTGAATATTCAGATATGTTTATGATACTGAAAATTAGGGTTGCCACCTCTTTGATGGTCAAAGATTTTTCCAAACTTTCAAAAGTATTTGGGAAAGACACATGTGCTCATTCCAATTCCAAATATGTCTTAGAGTGGTTGCCCACCCACTGTGCCAGATCATCCCTAGCCACCATTGGCTTGGACACAGCGCGCCATTCACAACCTCTGGGTCCTTTCCATTCATTTATACAAGGCTGATGCATGACTCACATGGAAAGCAGAGCCTCCTTTGACTCCTGTGTCAATTGAAAACTGAGACAGAATTACATGTGGTCCATTACTTACGTGAGACTCCTTGCTGGACAGAATGAGCCCGGAAGAGACTTGGAGGGGTTTTTCTGCCAAGCCTTTTTAACAGGTGGTCACGTTCATTCATGCTGCAAGAACAAAATCAAACCAAGTGAGCCTTTAGAGATGCATAATTAAATGGCCTGGAGGTGACAGAAGAAGAGGAAGAGGAAGAAGACAATGACAATAATGGAGGTGGCAGCAGAACTAGATGCCTTTTCTTAATACCTCTCTAGCCTAAATTAGGATGTCATCAATTCTAATACACTCTTAGTGGTGAGACGCTCCTGTCTGGGGTCCTGTTCTTGCCAGCATACATAGTCCAGGTTTGCTGAAAGGTTCGATAACTTTCATTACACAAGATGCAAACATCTTTCATGCCAAAGCTGCTGTAGCGAAAAAGGGCAACATGAATTTATATAGAATATGGGAAAGAGTTCTACCGTACCTGTATGTAGTCAATTGGAATGCATACCTTGGCATCGTCAATTTTGTTCGAAACCTTATTTAGATACAAGAAATGCTTATACTGATATATAATTTGACACAGAAATGCCCATTCTTTCCTCTCCTTTTTATTAATAGTGTTGTGAATGCTTATTCTGAATGGATATGCTATTTGTAATTTTTTCCTTTTTTCATTGCTGTTTCTGTTGCCATTACCCTTTCTTTTTGTTTTTCTTGTGAGTGCAAATTAAAAATAATAAAAAATACTTTTACGTGGTCTCATTCAGAGGTGCTGTTCCTGGAATATTTCCAGATATATTTTGAAATGTTCTTTTTCTTCATCACTAAACTATGTATTCAAATACTTAACTCATATGTTTGAAACTTCTCATCCTTTTATCCAAGGCCATGTTCATTCCCTCTGTCCCCCAGGACCCATTAGCTCTTTGTCAGCCAAAGGTGCAATCCTATGCATATTTAGACAGAAAAAAGTCCTACAGCTTCTGGTATTCTCTAGCTAGCCCAGTGTAGTACTGCAAAGCTTCAAGAGGTGAGCACTACTGAATTGGGATAAATTGCAAAAATTATTGATCTGGTCTGCACATAATGACAATTCAGAGCATTGGTTGAGGTTGGGTATTTGAATCATGGGTCATTGTTATGTGCAAACCTTGCACTATGGTTTAACTGTGTGTTGTGAACTATGAACAACCCAGAAATCACAATCAAACAATTAACCATGGGCTTTCTTCCTAGATTGCTCATGGTTAACAAACCATGGTTAAAGCATAGTGTTGGAGACACCAGTAACAACAACCTACAATTCATGACAATTGTTGTTATGTGCAAACCAGGCCAGTGCAGAGCCAGAAAGGGGAAACCAGAATGATCAGCAAATTGGAACAACTCCTTGCAGGGACAATTTAACTTAGGGAAAATGGAATAAGGGAGAAAATGACAGAGATTAATAAAATGCATGGATGGCATGGGTACAGGGAGGTTTTTCACCCTTGCTAGCATGCCAGAGCCCAGAGTCATCCCATAAAGCCAGACGGTGGGAGATTGGAGATGGTACAGCACATAGCTAAGTAATGGCATCCATTGCCACAAGATAAGAAGGCCGGTAACATAGATGCCTTTCAAAAGAAATGAAGATGTCCATCCATAACTGCACACTACCTCCAGGATCAGAGTCAGCATGCCTCTGTATGCCAGTTGATGGGGAATCTGAGCCAGAGGGTGCTGATGGACTCATGCCCTGCTTATGGGCTTCTCAGAGACGCCTGGCTACCCTCTGTGGGAAACAGGATGATGGACCAGATAGACCAGCAGGGCTCTTCTTTTGTTCACTAAATGGCTCAGGTGTATCACTTCCTTTCCTCCTTAAAAGAACACAGACATATTCTTAGCAACTCATGCCAGGATGATCGCAGTGCCCAAGATCCATGGCATTTGGATTCCAGCAGATAAGCCAACGCAAACACACTAATTCCTCCTTAGGATATTATGCAAACTGTAAGTGCTCTTTCTCACAGGCAAGGCACAAACAGAAATCCAGACGGGTTTGCCTGTATGTGCTTGCGCTGCAAAAACTGTACCAGGGCAGCAGGAATAAAGATTTCCATGAGGGAACCATATGCAATATCCTCCTGTACTAGCAGAGCAATTTCCTCCTCCACAGTGTGGACAATGTTCATGCAGTGCAATGAACAGCTCAGACTATGGAAACTGCTAAAACCCCACAATAAAGTTGGGACATAAAATCTTGCTAAGTTACCGAGAAGATATCCTTATCCCTCTCAGCTTATGCTGTCCATGGAATGGGCCTCAGGTCACAAAAATGAAGCTCCAGTAATGCTGATTTTCTCATCAACTCCACTGAGACAACAGCTGGAAAACTGCTCCTCTGGGGTAGCTTCTAAATGGTATGCAAGTATAGAAGAGAGCAGACTTGTACCATGACCTGGAGGCAGAGGAGAAGCCAGTGGTGCCAAAGAACTTTTAAAGTAAGGTGTGGGAATATCCTTCTTCTCCTCTCTTCACAGCCAGCAGCAAGAGGAGGCATGGTGGAGCACCTGCCAAGAGCTCACACCCCAGCAGGAAGCCCCCTGAGAAAAGTTCCCTGGACTTCCTCTTCCTTTTGACCACTGCAACCTCCTTGTTCACCTGCCATCTTTCTGGTCCAGACAAGGGTGGTCAGGAGGCTGAGCAACAGATGCCCCTGCTTTCTTGCTGCTTACCAAGCAAGCAAGTGGTAGTATCGATAAGAAAGAGAAGAGCAATGGGAGCAGGCAAGGAGGCAGATTAATGAGGGTGAGGGAGGGTGATGCTGTCTTGCCCAAAGTCCTCAAAAACATGAAGCCAGCGCTGTCTTTCAGCATGAAAAGAGTTCTGAAAGTCAACCATTTCTGACATGCAGCTGTGTGGGCAGCCATTTAGTCTCTACTGTCAAAGACATCCTCTTACCTTCCCTGGGTACTCATAGAGCTTGTTAAATATGATGGGTCTCTAAAGGGGAAAAGAAAAGCCCTAAGATGCTAGGTTATCATTTCTAATAACCATGTTTCCTGTTCTCTGCCCCCAAAGGATGCATTTTTCCATCTCACAGAGGAAGTGAGGTGGGGTGAGAATAACTGTTCTAGGGCATCAGCTAAGCCCCCAATTAACAGTTGTAAAAAGGTTCTTTGTCTTGTAGTCTCCCCTTCCCCCTTCCCCAGAAGTCCCTCAGCCTGGCCAAGAAACATCTGTCTTTACACATTCAGATGAAGAGCATCAAAACAAACAGAATAATTCAAAGCTGACCACAGGGTCCCACTGGCTTATTCGTTGGAGTAATTAAAAAAAGATGAGCTTCACCACCAATTAACCTGCCAAGCACTAATTAGCGTTAATGAGGATTCCAGGCACTTGCTGCAGCTTGACCCAGAATGTCCTCCAGAGTTCACTAATTGGCTGATGGCAAAAGCAGGGCGCAGACAGAAGGGAAGGTTAAAGTGGAGGGATGCAGGTGTCTCACTTACAGCGCAGGCACACCCTGGGAAATGACTTGCATCCACTGGGGTTTTAAATATTCAGTTGGTTTCCTCTCTCCCCGCCCCACTCTAACCCCTAACAAGGGCTGCAACTTCGAATCTGCGCTCTGTCGTGATTAGGGAACAATGCTACAGAATGCAGGTGGAGCATTCTAACAAAGAGGGCTCAGTTGCTGGGGTCTTCCCCCTGACAAGCCCCATTGAAATGAGCAAGAGCTCCCCTGATTTCTTATGCCACTGATTCCTCATCTCGGTCTCATTTCAGTAGGGTTTACTTTAAAGTACATGACTACTTGCAATTAAGGCAGCCCGTGGCTAGCAGTGATGAACTGGGACCTTGCTGGAAAGGGATAAAGATATTCAGGGCTAGGAGAAAAAGGAAGCATTGGGTTACACAGGGAAATGCTCTCATGAGGCTGGTTAAAAAAAAAAAAAAAGTGCTATCAGGCTTTTCTGTATTTATTAATGCTGTGCCATGAAATAAGCAATTTTCTCCATTAAATATGCAAATTGTTCTGTGAAATAAGCACATTTTCACTGTGAAATACAGGCCGACACATGGCCTACTTTAACTTTGTCTGAGTCCCGCAGTCCCCCTCTTGATTCTTTCCCCTTCCCACCCCCAGTCCAATTAACAACAGTAGTCAAAAGAGTTTCATTTGCTAACATGCAAATTTATGGGCTGGATTTTAATTTATATTTTGGGGTGAAGTGACAGCTCTTGGAATGCAATTAAGTAATGAACTCTTTCTGTTTAATACCAACTAACAAGTCAGTCCTATATATGTCTACTGAGAAAGTGGGTTCCATTGTTTTCACTGGGGTTTGCTCCACTGAAAGCAAGAATGGGGTTCCAACCTTAGGTGGCACAGGGAGGTGCATTTGGTTTAGTTCATCAGGAAGCACCCCTCTTGTCACTGGAAATAAGGCCCCCATCAATGCTTATGAAAAGGAAGGATAGACCTGTGTTGAGGTACTGATCCAAATCAGGTCCCCACACTTACTTTTGAGCAAAGGGGCCACACAGAGAGAGTGGCATGCCCTGTCCTTTGCCTCTTCATGTATCTGATCCTAGCAAGCTGCAAGTGTTCTAACCAGACTCCACACTAGAGTGGCCAGGTGTTCTCTTTTACAAAGGTCAGGACTGTGTCTGAAGGGCTGCCAGAGGACTGCCCTGTATTTTGAAGGCGTCTTCTGTATGAAGGGCTGTTAGTCCAAGTCTGGTTTAAAGATCAAAACCCTCAGAAAGAATCGCCCATCAGCAACACCTGGACAGCAGACTAACCAAGTCACACAGACTACCTGGTTGTGGTCTCTCATACTAGGGTGAAATGTATGGTATGTCTAAAACTACAGAAATCAGCATATGCAACTGTCTTGCAAAATGATGCATGGTGTGGAGAAAGAGAACAGGGAGAAGCTTTCCTCCTCCTCCCATAAAACTAGATTTTGGGTCAAGTAATAAAGTTGAATGGCAGGAGATTCAGGCCAGAGAAGAGGAAGTAATTCTTCATATGTCACAAATGTAAGCTCTGGATTTGCTAGCACAGGATGCAGCAATGGTCACCAATTCAAAATTGATTAGAAATTAAAGTTTGGGTCTGTATTTG